TGATGATCCTTCTCAGGGAGTCTACATGATAAACCCAAAGTTATGTAGCAAGTCAAATGACAGAAATAGTAACAGAACTCCTGTTTCCCAGGCTATATTAGCCAAAATTCCTTCTTGATTTACACAGAAGCTGGGATACATAGTTTATAAAAATCATGACTTAGTTCAGTAAATAGGTTTTTCAGTTGAAGATAAGGCATTTTAAATTTATGACTAATCTATGACTTCTTGGTCCAGGTTGCATTTGACAGATAACTGTGACATTTTCTTACCGTGCTGTCTGTTGAACACAATCATAATTCACTCTCGCTTATGTGAGGTAATAAGACTATGAAACCTCCTCAGAACAAAAAGATGAGCCATCACTAGCCCATCTTCTATTATTTCCACAATTCTCTTTCTTCTCTGTTTACATTTATTTATAGATATTGCCATGGCACTCATCACTGTGGTATATAAGCTCATAAATCGCTCCTTTGTCATCAAGGACTCAATCAATTGCCCAGGAAATAAACAGAAGTATTTGCACTGACTTCAAGGGGAGCTGGATTGAACCTCTAGGCTATCTTTTTATTATAACTATTTTGTGTGCCTCAGTTTTTAGGCAGTCAACTTGATGCCTTAAAGGGTCCTGATTTTCAGTGGGTAGGTATTTAGCACTTTTTCCAGGTGTCCAACATTGGGAAAACAATAACTGAGAAAATGAAACTTGGCTTGAACTTTTTGAGCTTTAGACTGCCACAATGAAACTACTCATTGGTTTGCATCTTTTTGTTCAATACTGGCAGACAATGAGGCAGTTTGGGCTGCACAATCATCACAGTACAGGTTACACAAAGCTCTGTTTCTCTTTTTTCATCCAATCCATATGTTGCTATGCCAACTTTTTCACTCTGCGACCAACCTCCAGTGAAATGAGGCTCAACCCAGACAAGACTAAAGCAATGTTAATAGGCTAGATGAAAGATCTTGGAAACATGCCTAGGGTGACCAGATTTCCTTATAAAATGGGGACTGTCCTGATATTTAATCCTTTATCCCAAATGATATGCAATTGGGACTCCATTTGTTCCAATATTCATGTGAGGAGGCAAATGATGGGGAAGGTGAGAAGGTGAGCAGTGAGGTCAGCAGCAGTCGGGGTGCATGTGAGAGGAGGTAGGTGACAAGGTGAGATGAGTGGTGAGGTGAGTGGCAGGTGGGGAGTCAGAAGGAGAGTGGTGGGCACGGAGGGTAAGCAGGTGAACTATGATGTGAGTGATAGGCAGGAGGCTAAGGATGTGAGCGGTGAGTGTGGGGTAAGGAAGTGAGAGGCAAACAGGGCAATGAGGTAAGCAGTGAGGCAAGTGATGGGCAGTGAGCCAGCAACAGGGTGAGGAGGTGGGTCTGGCAGGAGAGTGAGGAAGTCAATGTTGAGCAAGCAACGAGTGGGAATGCACCCAGCACTAAAGGGGCATATGGCAAGGGAGTGAAGAGGCAAGCAGTGGGTAGGGGTCTGAGGAGAGACACAGCAAGCCAGTGTCGAGGTGGGGACTGAGGGAGGATGTGGTGGCTGGGGAGGGGACAAGTGGGGAGAAGGTGCAACTAAGGGTGGGACCGCGGGAGGGGGCGGAACCTTGTTGGAGTGGGCATGGAGAGTGAGCGGGGCTGAGATTGTCCCAATATTTTACCGTTGTGATCTGATCTCCCTAAGTATGTTCCTCCACATTAATCACTTTTCATCTTTCATCCAACATGTCTGAAATTTGGTGGTGCTCTCTGCTAACTGACTGCTCCTAGCATTCAAGTAGCACCTAGAACAAAAAGTGCTTTTTAAAATATTGTTTCTTGCAAACTGGCTTTCCTATCTGGATCTCACTATAGGAATCTATACCTTTATGACTTCTAGATGGGATTTTTAATTGGGGCTACACCGACAAATACCCTGGAGACTAAATAGGCAGAAAATACAATACCCACCTACTAGCCTCAGAGAATATACCACACCACGCCAGAAACCACCAAAGGTTTTTATTTGGTGTAATTCAAGGTACTAACTCTAATCTGCAACATAAACCCCTCTGGGGTTTATGTTATGCTTACGTCAGAGAGCTCCTCTCTTGTCTTGCACCCACCATTAACTAAAATCAAAAGAGGTACTTGAGCTAAAAGTCCCTAAATATTAACCTGAAAAACTGGGTCAGGCCCAGGGCATTCTCAGTGGCCAGCCCTTGATTGCAGAATTCTCTTTTGCTACAGATTGAATACAGTCTAATTCTGATGACTTTCAAGGAACATTAGCAGTTCCATATCTTTTTAATCGCTTATATGAGACATGGATGTGCATAGAGGGGGTTTGTCTCCTGGGATAATACTCTTTCTGCCTCTCATAAGTGGTGCAAAAATGTGTTTCTTATTAATGCTGTTTATGTGCCCTGAGACTTAGGGATGGGGTGCACCTTATATGTTAATACAAATATACTGTATTAAATGCTTGTACAAAAGACTGCCAGTCAACTTGCCATTATTCCGAGATGCTTGTTTTGATTAGTACTTGACTCATTGTTATCTTGACTAATCTGCTCTAGTCAGCCTGATTTCTATTTTTTCCTTGTTTTGTTCTCACCCTCTTTCCTGAAAGATATTAGCTTGTGGCATTGTTTTTACACTTAGGTTGAATCATCACCCTCTAATTCCTTAAATATCTTTCCACATTTTGCAATGGGCTTTGTTAACTCTGCTTCCATTCATTTTGTTATAGCTTATTCCTTAAAAATAGATTGAAGTCTAGCATTTCTCTGCTGCCTTTTTTTCCATCTACTCTTAAGGACCACTTTCTATCTGATGATTATCTGATTACAAGACCCATGAGGTTCATTCACTTCCATCAAATTTGTTTAATTTTCTTCTTGTATCTATGTTCAGAATGGTCATCTCTAATTATGTTTACTCAAAACAAATTTTGTAACTTTTGCCAAAAACTATCCTCCTTACTCCAACGCACAGCTACTGTTAACAATCTCAGATGTCATTGGAGCAAATAAAAATCCCAGTCACCAACTTTCTAACAAATATCACGTCAGATCTCATTTTTTGCTGCTGTGTTGTTTCTGTCTTTCACACTCCAATCCAAGGGTATCAGGTTTAAATATGTCATAGTATTCTAGGGTGTGCTTCATTGTTCCCTCTAAGCTACGCAGCAGCACAACTTCATAGGTGATTAATCAGCCCCGCCCAGTCAGAGGCTCAGGGTTCTGAGCATGGAGCTGACTGGGTGGGGCTGATTAAAAACCTGTGAAGCTGTGTTGCCATGCAATTTAGAGGGAACACTGGTGTGATTTGCTTCCAGCCCGTATTGCAGTTTTTCTGGGAATGCACCCTGCTTAGGAATAGGCACTGTTCCTGCAATTTATTCAACGGGAAGCCCCATGACTCCACTACTTTAAGACTGGGCTATAGATAAGGATCTCTGTTTCTCACCATAGCTCCTCTAATAGGTCCAAATGACCTTGGAACTCCTTTGGAGACCTACCCTTTTGGGAGCTATGTAACCAGCAAATGTTGCAGTGATAGAGGTCGGCTTTTTCAAAATATGGCATTATTTGTCAGCAGAAATACAATATTCAGGTAAATGAGGTTAAAACATTAAAGAGAATCCTAAGGCCTAAATGTATAAATTGCAAAAAGTAGAACATTGCGACCCTTCCCTGGATGTCAGTACACATCCTCCCAATTGTTGTTGAAAGGACAGAAACCAGCCAAGCTTTATCCCCAGATTAGCATGGTATTGTTCAAAAGGACCTGTAGTGATAACTGGGTCTACAAGTCTACCCTAATTGTGATTTCACCTGTGAAAATTAAATCAAAGATCATAAAATGTCACAGAAACCTACAACCAAAAATAATAGTAGAAAAAGTTACAAAAGTGAGACAGAAAGGTCCAAACAAAAAAGGCTTTGACAGAAGTCAGGGACTATGTTAAGATCATGCCTGGAGTAAGTGACTGGTTCATAGGGACAGGGAGTAACTTTTTTGGGGGGCAAGGGACTATTTATCACAAAGACAAGCTTACCCAGGTGGGTTTGTCAACATCTTTCTTCAATCGTGGCTACCAGAACTGGAGACAACATTCCTGCAGTGGTCATAGCCATGCCAAAAACTTCTCTATTCCAACTTGAGATTCCCCAGTGTATGCTTCCCAAGACTGCATTAGCTCTTTTGGCCACAGAGTCAAACAGAGAGATCATCTGATTATGCACCATGACCCTCAAATATTATTCAGAGCCATTGCTTCCCAGGATAGTGTCTTCCATCCGGTAAATATGGCTTACATTCTTTTTTCATAGATATAGAAATTTACATTGAGCCATATTAAAAGGCATATTGTTTGCTTGCCCATACCTTGACAAAGATCCAGAATTTCTGAACCAGTGACCTGTCCACTGCATTATTTACCACTCCCCAGTTTGTGACATCTGTTTCCTGAAGTGCTTTTCTCCCCCCCCCAAATATTCCTAAAATATCAGCAGACAAAAAGCTTTGGGCCTGCTCCTGCAGTGTGCTGAATACCTCTGACTCCCACTGACTTTACTGGGAGTTGAGGGCACTATGTACCTCCCAGCAGGGGAGCCAACAGACTTGCTGTGCAAGGTGGGAGCAGGACAGCTTCACTTTCCCTGAAAGGACAGAGCCTTGGCCGGAAATGTGAGGCTGGGGCGGGCAGCCAGCCCGCAGCACTGTCCAGACTATGGTATGCACCCCAGCCCTCAGTGCTGCTGGGAGTACACTGTGCCTGGCTCCAGTGGCAATTTAAAGGACCAGGTGCCATGACGGCAGTGGCTGGAGCCATGGACCAACTGCCCACTTTGCTCCTCCCCCACATCAGTGGGCCTGCCTCCCAGGAGAAGCTTAGCTCCTTTCTAAATCACTTTGCTAGTCAATTATTTTCAGCATGGAGATCTCTAGTAACATTTTCCATGACCTCACTACCAAAGCAAATTTAGTGAGATTTCAATACTCACTTGCTACACTCAGATAAAGAAATGGACTTGTCTTGTTCTCTCCATTTTTTTCATTGACTGCTTGGACATAGTAACCTCCTGCATCTGTTGCTTCTGCTGCAAGGATCACCAACTGATTCTCCAGTGTTATAGCTCTGTGTAGGAAAGCAAAATATTATGTTAAAACAGGAACAATGACATTAACTAAGCATAAGCTGTACAGAAACGCAGGTGGGATACAACTGTACAATATGCAAAGGTCATTGAAAGGGTTTGAACAGGTAACCCATATAGTTAGGGTTGATGCTCCCGGTAAACAACATTTTGCTGTAAACCTCATTTGACTGAAAACCATCTCGGAAAGACAGAGGATCAGCACTCTGGAATGAGAGCCTACATTGCAGTGAAAAATCAGAGGCAACAGACTCTCAGGAGATAAATATTCTGTATTTATGGCCTGTATAATTATCTCAGTTTCAGATACAATAAGAGCAAGAGACTAATTAACATGCTCAGCTGAAGAAGCATGTATACAGAGAGAGCGAAGAGCAAAACTATTTAATCTAAACCAGGTATGAAAGCACTCTTCTGTAGATGGTGATTATGTAGTCCTAGGGGAGTCAATAAATGTCATGGTCTGATATAATTTAATCTTTCTAAGAGCTGCTACATAACAGTTGTCTTCATAAACTCCCTTGTAAGACAGTGCTAACCATTTGTACTGCAGTAAGATTAGTTTGTTTGCATTTTACACGTGTTGTATAGTCTTTTTGATTGTATTAGAGAAAATGTAAAACGGCTGATTTTCCAGAAAAACTGGCCAGTCTAGACAGCCTCAGTGTCCAGAATTGGGTCTTTGTTTGGATTTCCAGGGTTGGAGACATTGAGAGGCACTGCCATGATGTGATTAGGTCTTAGTGTGAATAGGGCAGTATTTCTCAATGACCAGTCCGTGGACTGGTGCAAGTCCTTGAGATCTCCCAGATACATATTAGGAAGGTAGCAAGCTCGTCCCTGTAGCAAAAAGGCTGAGAAACACTTGGATAGGGGGTTTAGCAGAAAATGGGAAACTGAAAGAAGATATGGAAATTAAATAGGAACCCCTTTGAGCTCCAGTGGGAGAGTTTTGGTACAGGCAGCAGTTATTTTCATGCTGATGGTGATAAAGGCACAGTCCAGCTATTTGAAGATAGGAATTTTGAGCTTCAAGTCCCAACTTCTCATTCATATTCTGACTCTAACATTGGGCCCAAATCTGCCATGCTTAGTCACAGTACTCTGAGAAGTCCACTAGACTCACATGTACTTTTATTCATAGCCCTGAATATGAATTGGGGGGCACAATTGTTGCCCAGACTCAGGGAAGTAATTTTGTTTATCTCCACTCTGTGCCCCAACTGTCCAGGCTAGAACATATGTGTGGGGTTTCAAATTTATGCTCTCTTTGGGTATGTCTACACTACAGCGCTAATTCCAATTGTTGCCCAGACTCAGGGAAGTAATTTTGTTTATCTCCACTCTGTGCCCCAACTGTCCAGGCTAGAACATATGTGTGGGGTTTCAAATTTATGCTCTCTTTGGGTATGTCTACACTACAGCGCTAATTCGAACTAACTTAATTCGAATTAGTTTATTCGAACTAAGCTAATTCGAACTAGTGCATCTAGACCTAAAAACTAGTTCGAATTAGCATTTTGCTAATTCAAACTAGCATGTCCACACTGAGGCTATGTCTAGACTGCAAGCCTCTTTCGAAAGAGAGCGTCTAGACTGCACGTTGAACTTTCGAAAAAGCGGCTTGCTTTTTCGAAAGAAAGCATCCAGTGAGTCTGGATGCTCTCTTTCGAAGAAGCCCTATTTACATTCAAGAACGCCGCATCTAGACTTAAAAACTAGTTCGAATTAGCGTTTTGCTAATTCGAACTAGCATGTCCACACTGAGTGGACCCTGAACTGAGGTTAAGGATGGCCGGAAGCAGGGCCGGCAGGGCATCAGATTAGGGCTTAGAGTATGGAGCTGTTGCCTCAGGCTAGCCGAGGGCTGTGATTAAAGGGACCCGACCCCCATCCCGGACAGACAGTTCTCAGGGGTTCCCCGCTTGCAAAGCAGTCCTGGCTTGGAGTGCCCTGAGTGCCTACACTCGGCACATCACAGCACTCGGCCATCAGCCCGGCTGCATTTGCCGCAGGCTGCCATCTGGG